ATCATGGAAGAAGGGGAGAAGGGACGTTCCTCATTATTATCATGGAAGAAGAAGGGGAGAAGGGGGACGTTCCTCATTATTATCATGGAAGAAGGGGAGAAGGGACGTTCCTCATTATTATCATGGAAGAAGGGGAGAAGGGACGTTCCTCATTATTATCATGGAAGAAGGGAAGAAGGGACGTTCCTCATTATTATCATGGAAGAAGGGGAGAAGGGACGTTCCATCATTATTATCACGGAAGGGGAGAAGGGACGTTCCTCATTATTATCATGGAAGAAGGGGAGAAGGGGACGTTCCTCATTATTATTATCATGGAAGAAGGAGAAGGGACGTTCCTCATTATTATCATGGAAGAAGGGGAGAAGGGACGTTCCTCATTATTATCATGGAAGAAGGGGAGAAGGAGACGTTCCTCATTATTATCATGGAAGAAGGGGAGAAGGGACGTTCCTCATTATTATCATGGAAAGAAGGGGAGAAGGGACGTTCCTCATTATTATCACGGAAGAAGGGGAGAAGGGACGTTCCTCATTATTATCATGGAAGAAGGGGAGAAGGGACGTTCCTCATTATTATCATGGAAGAAGGGAGAGAAGGGACGTTCCTCATTATTATCATGGAAGAAGGGGAGAAGGGACGTTCCTCATTATTATCATGGAAGAAGGGGAGAAGGGACGTTCCTCATTATTATCATGGAAGAAGGGAAGAAGGGACGTTCCTCATTATTATCATGGAAGAAGGGGAGAAGGGACGTTCCTCATTATTATCATGGAAGAAGGGGAGAAGGGACGTTTCATTATTATCATGGAAGAAGGGAGAAGGGACGTTCCTCATTATTATCATGGAAGAAGAGAGAAGGGACGTTCCTCATTATTATCATGGAAGAAGGGGAGAGAAGGGCGTTCCTCATTATTATCATGGAAGAAGGGACGTTCCTCATTATTATCACGAAGAAGGGAGAAGGGACGTTCCTCATTATTATCATGGAAGAAGGGGGAGAAGGGGACGTTCCTCATTATTATCATGGAAGAAGGGGAGAAGGACGTTCCTCATTATTATCACGGAAGAAGGGAAGGGACGTTCCTCATTATTATCATGGAAGGGGAGAAGGGGAGAAGGAGAAGGGACGTTCCTCATTATTATCATGGAAGAAGGGGAGAAGGGACGTTCCTCATTATTATCATGGAAGAAGGGGAGTTCCTCATTAGGGACGGAAGAAGGGACGTTTCCTCATTATTATCACGGAAGAAGGGGAGAAGGGACGTTCCTCATTATTATCCGGAAGAAGAAGGGGAGAAGAAGGGACGTTCCTCATTATTATCACGGAAGAAGGGGAGAAGGGACTCATTCCTCATTATTATCATCATTAAGAAGGAAGGGAGAAGGGACGTTCCTCATTATTATCACGGAAGAAGGGGAGAAGGGACGTTCCTCATTATTATCATGGAAGAAGGGAGAAGGGACGTTCCTCATTATTATCATGGAAGAAGAAGGGGTTCCTCATTAAGGAAGGGGAGAAGGGACGTTCCTCATTATTATCATGGAAGAAGGGGAGAAGGGACGTTCCTCATTATTATCATGGAAGAAGGGGAGAAGGGACGTTCCTCATTATTATCATGGAAGAAGGGGAGAAGGGACGTTCCCTCATTATTATCATGGAAGAAGGGAGAAGGGACGTTCCTCATTATTATCATGGAAGAAGGGGAGAAGGGACGTTCCTCATTATTATCATGGAAGAAGGGAGAAGGGACGTTCCTCATTATTATCATGGAAGAAGAAGGGACGTTCCTCATTATTATCATGGAAGAAGGGGAGAAGGGACGTTCCTCATTTATCACGGAAGAAGGGGAGAAGGGACGTTCCTCATTATTATCATGGAAGAAGGGGAGAAGGGACGTTCCTCATTATTATCATGGAAGAAGGGGAGAAGGGACGTTCCTCATTATTATCATGGAAGAAGGGGAGAAAAGGGACGTTCCTCATTATTATCATGGAAGAAGGGGAAGAAGGGACGTTCCTCATTATTATCATGGAAGAAGGGAGAAGGGACGTTCCTCATTATTATCATGGAAGAAGGGGAGAAGGGGACGTTCCTCATTATTATCATGGAAGAAGGGGAGAAGGGACGTTCCTCATTATTATCATGGAAGAAGGGGACGTTCCTCATTATTATCATGGAAGAAGGGGAGAAGGGACGTTCCTCATTATTATCATGGAAGAAGGGGAGAAGGGACGTTCCTCATTATTATCATGGAAGAAGGGAGAGAAGGGACGGACGTTCCTCATTATTATCATGGAAGAAGGGGAGAAGGGACGTTCCTCATTATTATCATGGAAGAAGGGACGGGACGTTCCTCATTATTATCACGGAAGAAGGGAGAAGGGCGTTCCTCATTATTATCATGGAAGAAGGGGAGAAGGGACGTTCCTCATTATTATCATGGAAGAAGGGAGAAGGACGTTCCTCATTATTATCATGGAAGAAGGGGAGAAGGGACGTTCCTCATTATTATCATGGAAGAAGGGGAGAAGGGGACGTTCCTCATTATTATCATGGAAGAAGGGGAGAAGGGACGTTCCTCATTATTATCATGGAAGAAGGGGAGAAGGGACGTTCCTCATTATTATCATGGAAGAAGGGGAGAAGGGACGTTCCTCATTATTATCATGGAAGAAGGGGAGAAGGGACGTTCCTCATTATTATCATGGAAGAAGGGGAGAAGGGACGTTCCTCATTATTATCATGGAAGAAGGGGAGAAGGGACGTTCCTCATTATTATCACGGAAGAAGGGGAGAAGGGACGTTCCTCATTATTATCATGGAAGAAGGGAGAAGGGACGTTCCTCATTATTATCATGGAAGAAGGGGATTAGGGGACGTTCCTCATTATTATCATGGAAGAAGGGGAGAAGGGACGTTCCTCATTATTATCACGGAAGAAGGGGAGAAGGGACGTTCCTCATTATTATCATGGAAGAAGGGGAGAAGGGACGTTCCTCATTATTATCATGGAAGAAGGGGAGAAGGGACGTTCCTCATTATTATCATGGAAAAAGGGGAGAAGGACGTTCCTCATTATTATCATGGAAGAAGGGGAGAAGGGACGTTCCTCATTATTATCATGGAAGAAGGGGAGAAGGGACGTTCCTCATTATTATCATGGAAGAAGGGGAGAAGGGACGTTCCTCATTATTATCATGGAAGAAGGGAGAAGGGACGTTCCTCATTATTATCATGGAAGAGAAGGGACGTTCCTCATTATTATCATGGAAGAAGGGGAGAAGGGACGTTCCTCATTATTATCATGGAAGAAGGGGAGAAGGGACGTTCCTCATTATTATCACGGAAGAAGGGGAGAAGGGACGTTCCTCATTATTATCATGGAAGAAGGGGAGAAGGGCGTTCCTCATTATTATCATGGAAGAAGGGGAAGAAGGGCGTTCCTCATTATTATCATGGAGAAGGGGAGAAGGGGCGTTCCTCATTATTATCATGGAAGAAGGGGAGAAGGGACGTTCCTCATTATTATCACGGAAG